ACATAAAAAACCCAAAAGACTCCATTAAAAAACTAATTGACTTAATAAATGAATTTGGCAATGTAGCAGGATACAAAATTAACGCCAAGAAATCCATGGCATTTCTATACACCAATAGTGAAACTACAGAAACAGAGATTAAAAAAGCAATTCCATTTACCATCGCACCAAAAAAATTAAGATACCTAGGTATAAATTTAACTAAGGAAGTAAAGGTCCTATATGTGGAAAACTACATGACACTGAAAAATAGAGATAGAGGAAGATGTAAAGAGATGGAAGAACATACCATGTACATGGATTGGTAGAATCAACATAATCAAAATGTCCATACTTCCTAAAGCAATCTATAGATTCAATGCACTCCCCATTAAAATACCAATGGCATATTTCACTGACCTAGAAAGAACTCTCCAAAAGTTCATTTGGAACAATAAAAGACCCCGAATAGCCACATCAATCCTGAGAAAGAAGAGTAAAGTAGGAGGGATCTCAATACCAGACTTCAAATTGTATTACAAAGCCACTGTTCTCAAAACAGCCTGGTACTGGCACAAATACAGACATATAGATCAATGGGATAGAATAGAGAACCCAGATATCAACCCAAATCACTATGCTTAATTAATATTTGACAAAGGAGGCATGAATATACAAGGGAGCCAAGACAGTTTCTTCAATAAATGGTGTTGGGAAAATTGGACAGACACATGCAAAAGAATGAAACTAGATCACCAACTTACACCATTCACAAAAATAAACTCAAAATGGATACAGGACTTAAACATCAGACGGGAAACCATAAAAATACTAGAAGCATCCACAGGCAGCAAAATCTCAGACGTATGCCAAAAGAACTTCTTTACTGATACTGCCCCTAGGGCAATGGAAGCTAAAGAGAAAATTAAAAAATGGGACTACATCAAAATAAAAAGCTTTTTTACAGCAAAAGAAACCATCAACAAAACAACAAGAAAGCCCATGGTGTGGGAGAACATATTTGCAAATAATACCACTGATAAAGGTTTAATCTCCAACATCTACATACAGCTTATACAACTAAATAAAAGGAAGATGAATGATCCAATTAAAAAATGGGCAATGGACCTAAATAGAATATTTTCAAAAGAAGACAGAAGGAAGGCCTAAAGGCACATGAAAACATGCTCAAAGTCACTAATTGTCCGAGAGATGCAAATCAAAACAACAATGCGGTACCATCTCACACCTGTCAGAATGGCCAACATCAACAAATCAACAAAAGACAAGTGTTGGCGAGTTTGCGGAGAAAAAGGAACCTTCGTGTACTGCTGGTGGGAATGCAGACTGGTGCAACCACTGTGGAGAATAGTGTGGAGTTTCCTAAAAAAAACTGCAAATGGAACTCCCATTTGACCCAGTAATCCCACTCCTAGGAATATATCCCAAGAAACTAGAAACACCAATCAGAAAGGATATATGCACCCCTATGTTCATAGCAGCACAATCTACAATAGCCAGAATTTGGAAACAGCCTAGGTGCCCGTCAGCAGATGATTGGATCCAAAAACTATGGTACATCTACACAATGGAATACTATGCTGCCATAAAAAAGAAGGAATTCTAATCATTTGCAGCAACCTGGATGGAATTGGAGAACATCGTGCTGAGTGAAATAAGCCAATCAAAGAAAGAGAAACATTACATGACCTCACTCATTTATGGATAATAAAGAACATTATAAACTGATGAACCAAAAGATAGATATAGAGACAGTAAAGCAACAAGCAGACTGTCAAATTACAGTGGGGAGGGGAGGGAGATCTGGGGGAGATAATAGATCAACCGAAGGACTTGTATACATGCGTATAAGTACAACCAATGGACATAAAACTCTGGGGAGGGAGGGTATGTATGGGAGGGAGGAAGGGGGGCAAAAAAAATCAATAAAAAAAGATATAAAAAAAATAAATAAAATTACAAAGATACCCAATAAATATATTGACAAAAAATTTATGCTAGGGGGAAACTTTTTAAAAACAAGATTTTTAGAGAGAGAGGAAGTGGGGAGAGAAATAGATAGATGAGAGCCAAACATTGATCAGCTGCCTCCTGCACTCCCCTACCAGGAATTAAGCCTGAAACCTGGGCATGTGCCCTGACTGGGAAGAATCAGCAACTTTTTGGTGCATGGGATGATGCCCAACCAACTGATCCAGAGCAGCCAGAGCTAAAGGAAAACTTTAAACAGTGAAATGAATTTTTAATTCAACATACTTTTTAGTTTTGCTTGTTCCATAAGTCACAGGGTCACATTAGCTCTAAGGTTAAGCTTCTGCTGCCTTCTGGTGGCTGCTAAGGTTATCACATTTTATTTAAATGGATCACAATGTTAACTTTTATTTTTTGTATTTTTTATTTTTTCTAGTCTGAGATGATTTTTCTGTCGAAATAAATAATTAGAATGCGAAGTGCAATGAATGTTTTCGGTTGGCTTTTAAAATGACCTTACAGAAAGGACTGTAATCAAAGCTACTTAAAATTTTATTCTCTCTCTCTCTTGCCTAGCCGGCGCTGGTTGAGCATAGACCTATGAACACTAGGATATCAGGGTTTGATTCCTGGTCAGGGTTGTAGGCTCAGTCCCCAGTGTAAGGCAGCCAATCCATGATTCTCTCATCGTTGATGTTTCTGTCTCTCTCTCCCTCTCCCTTCCTCTCTGAAATCAATAAAAATGTATTTAAACATTTTATTCTCTCAATTTTCTCATTTGCAAACTGTGTGTGTATGTAGGAGTAGGGGAGTGGGGAGAGAAGAGATAAACCAAAGAACTTCTATGCTTATATGCATAATCCAAGGACACAGACAACAGAATGTTGCAGTGGGAAGTAGGGGTTCAATAGAGGGATGTAAAGGGCGGAAATGAGGGACATCTGTAAAACTGTCAACTATAAAAAATATATCTACCTTTAAAAATAAAAAAATAAATAAAACTTAGGAAGCTTGAAGATGGTTCTAGAAAAACAAACACACACCTTGCTAAAGAAATCACCTTTAAAAATCAATAACAATAAATCTGAAGTCAGCTCATGATTATTTATTGTTTAGAAGAATGGGACCCCCCACTTCCCACCTTCCTCTTTGCTTTAGTCAGCTGCTCATGCCTATTGAATAAACACACACTGAGATCATTTTAACTAAACTTGATGTATAGAGCTCAAGAGGACTAGAAACAGAGCTATTATAGCTTTAACATAAGCAAACGCATGAAACCAGAACTGTTCTCTTTAAGTCAGGTAAACTTTTCAGACTTTCTGGTGGTAGAATAAGATTGGGATAGACATGTTTCTAGTTTAAAATTTTTAGTATTTAAAAATGGTAAGTTACTACAGAGTCATTATAGAAAATTAAGAAAAACATAGAAAAGCAAGAAAGATCTAGGATTCTATTACTCAAGAGGTTAATATCTTAGCATGTTTTTATACTCATTTCTACACATTGTTTTACAAAATTAGAACTTCATTAACTAAAAAGCTGTATTTTCCTATCTACACTAATAAAAGAGAAAGATGCAGTACCTTTGCAATGCCCACCAGCCAATCAGGAGTGAGTATGCAAATTAACCCAACAAAAGATGGTAGGTTAATTTGCATACACAGGCACCGAGTGGCTGAGGGCATTACGCACAACCCTAGCCACTCCAGGCCTCTGGGCAGTGTGGGGAGGCAAAAAGGTGGCTTAGGTCCAGAGCAAAGGCAGAAAGGCTGGCAGCAGCCTTTGGAAGGAAGGCCAATTCTTGTACGAATCTTTGTGCATCAGATCTCTAGTTTATATCATAAGTTTTCCCATGTCATTTAAAATTCTTTTAACTTGGGACGATGAACACACAATATAGTGTATAGGTGATGTGTAATAGAATTGTGCATCTGAAATCTGTAAAATTTTGTTAACCAGTATCACTCACCCCAATAAGTTAAAAGAAAAATATCTTTGTAATAATAATAAGTATTTTAGAAATATATCTTTATTAATTTCAGTGAAGAAGGGAGAGGGAGAAAGAGAGAAACATCAATGATGAGAGAGAATCACTAAATGGCTGCCTCCTGCATGCCCCCCACTGTGGACTGAGCCTGCAAACTGGGCATGTGCCCTGACTGGGAATTAAACTATGACCTCCTGGTTCATAGGTCAACACTCAACCACTGAGCCATGCTGCTGGGTTGTAATAATTATTTTTCATTTCTTGCATGATGTTCAATTTATGATTATATTGTAATTTTGTTAGTCATTTTATTCATGCTATTTTTTTATTTTTTTTGCATCTTAGGGCATAAATATCTGTCCAAATTTAAACTTTTTTCCCCCAAAAAGTAAATTAGCATTGAATAGCTATTCATTGTGATAAGCCTTGTCCAGCACCATCAAGTACAGACTGTCCTAAGACCTTGCTGCCAGGTCCACCGTGCCTGTCCTGTTGAGAGGAAGCCAATGTCATACAGCTGCATTGACACTGTCATGGGTGAAGGCTTTGTAGGGGTTTCATGATAAGACTTTATTGTGAGTAGGTGGGTAACCATCATTATAACCCAAATATGTGTCCTATGAGGGAATGGGAAAGACTTTGGAGGCTAGGTTTAGCCTGCTGACATCTAATATATATGTTCCCTGAGTTTACTGCAGTAAAATATAAAAGGAGTAAGAATATATTTCATTTTTCCAATTGTCAAACCTAGTTTTCTACAAGATAATTTATGTCAATGGGAGGGTATAACAGATATTAAAGATAGGTATGCTAAGTTAGAATAGAAATTGTTTTTGGTATTTGATCAGAACTGTAATGTCATTCATTGAATGGGGAAGTAAAGTCCACATTTATAAACCTGGAAAATATAATTCAGACATCAAATAAAACAAACTAAACAAAAAACACAGGCTAATTGCATAAACTAAAGAGCTTACTCTCCTTATCAGAAAACACACACACAATTTTAAGAACAAAAAATTCACTAAAGATATCTTACCATTGTCTGCAGTATCATTAGGAAGTCTCTGGTTCTTCCAGATGAAATTGGGGCTGTTATTCACTGGGTTAGTGACATTGGTGTGTGTGTCATAGGTCAAAAGTACACTGTACTGTGTCAGGACATGAAAAAGAAGAAGGATGAACAGAAAAAGATTTTTAAAAAAGTTCTGATGAAATTGACCATCCTGTCCAATGACATTTGAATTTCATAGTAGCATTCTCAGTGAAACAAGATAATGTTAATCAGCCATGGGGGAGCTTCTTAGGATTCATTATTGCTTCACAGCACGAATATTGATTTAAGCTCCATGTGGGTCAATTAGTTTTATGACCATATACTATGTCTATCCAACACAGGTCCTTGGGTCTTTAGAGAACTGGCTCAAGCATTTCATTTTGCAAATGTTAAAATAGATGCAAAGACCAACAGACATATAAAAAGATGCTCAATGTCACTAATCATCAGAGAGATGCAAATTAAAACCAGAATGATATATCACCTCACACCTGATAGAATGTCATCAATAAATCTGCAAACAACAAGTGTTGGTGAGAATGTGGAGAAAAGGGAACCCTTGTGCACTGTTGGTGGGAATGCAGAGTGGTGTAGCCATTATGAAAAACACCATAGAAGTTCTTCAAAAAAATTAAAAATGGAACTGCCTTATGACTCAGTGATTCCACTTTTTGGTATTTATTTGAAGAAACCCAAAACACTAATTTGAAAGAATATATGCAGCACTATGCTCATTGCATCTATTATTCACCTCCCAAGTTATCCCTCTCAGCCAATCACTTCAACCCAAGTTCTTGGTAAGAAGTCAGACATACTTTGTTGGTCTCCAAAGAGGTATACAGAAGCACCATAGTTTTGTCGATATCCCCATAGATGTCCAAAGTCACAGGGCCCGTATACCCTAGAGCAAAATCACAGAGTTAGAGGCATTTGTTAATTTACTTACTGAAAGATCCTGACAGAGACTATAAAACAGGTTCAAATTTCTTTATGGTACTGAAAAATTGTTTATATAAATGATCTCATCTGAGGGCACCTGGACTTGTCCTTGGCCCTGAAATCTCTGAAGAATATTTTTATGAGCGGTGTTATTTAGTTAGAGGAAACATCTTTTTCATTGCATTTAGAGTGGCTCTATATATAATAGATTCCTCTTCATTATTAGTGAGAAATTTTTGCTAAGCATATTTACTAAACTAGTATCACAGTGTGTAGGTCATTGCACAATCTAACTTAAGACTGTAAGAAGATCAAAATCCATTCGCTGTCATGTGATGTTTGAAGACATTGAGAAAATTAAGTTCTTTATGTCTTGGTTCCTCATCTATGAAATAACAACAGTACAACAAACTTATGAAATGGCTGTTTAGATAAAATATGTTGAAATATCAGCAAATTCATATGGCTTAACACAATAGCTAATATTTATTTTGCGTTTACTATACCAGTCTCTGTGCTAAGTGGTTTATATACATTTATCATTTTATTCTTCCTAAAATACCATGATACAGAAAATATTATCTCCACTTTATTGCTGAGAAATCTCAGGTTAGAGATTTAAATAACTTGCTTCAGGTTTTTCAGCTAGTAGATGGCTAATTTAGGACATAAATGTCTATTGGATCAGAGAAACCAAGATGGTGGCCTAGGTAAGCACCTAAGCTGCCACCTCGCACAACAATTTCAAAACAACTACTAAAAGATAGAATGGACATCATCCAAAACCACAGGAAAGCTGGCAGAGTGGGAAATCTACAACTATAAAGAAGGAGGGAGGCTCACAGATGGAATTGGGAGCTGCAAAGTGCTGAGGTAGGGAGACATCTGTGCAGAGAGGAAGGGTGCCCAAGTGCCTGGCTGGCGGGAGGGGAAAGGAAGTCCCTAATTGCACTGATTTTTTGTAAACCCCACTCTTCTACTAACATGATTTTCAGGGGGTGTAAGGGTTAGTGCCCCTTATACTCCCTTTCTTTTTCTTTTTTCTTTTTTCCCCCCCTTTGAGGGACAGACATTGATAGCTAGGATATTCAAGCAACTGCACTGGCATGCCCAGGAGAAACCAGAAGCTCAGAAAAGAATTGAGAAGGCCTTAAGTTTATTCCTCAGCATAGCGACAGCCCACAAACAAAAAGCAGAAACAAAACCCAGCGAACCCTGAAGAATGGGAAATTCCTCAGAGGAAAATTTCTCATTCCCCATGTGATTTTCAGAATTATCATGTTATTGTATTCAAATGTATAGTTTTCAGTGACAACAACAAATCACAAGCATGCCCTAGCTGGTTTGGTCAGCTAGTGGATAGAACGTCGGCTGCAGACTAAAGGGTCCAGTCAAGGGCACATAATCCAGGTTGTGGGCTTGATCCCCAATAAAGGTATGTAGGAGGCAGCCAATCAATAATTCTCTCTCATCATTGGTATTTCTATCTCTCTCCTTTTCTTTTTCTCTCTGAAATCAATTAAAAATATATTTGAAAATAAATCACAAAGCATACAAAGGAAAAAGAAAATATGGCTCATTCAAAAGAAAAAAAGTAAGATATCAGAACAGTCCCTGAAAAAGACATGATGGTAGATCTGTTAGACAAAGGATTTAAAACAATGATCTTAAATATGCTCAAAGAACTCAGAAGACATGGATAAATTCAAGAAAACAATGAAAATAACACTAAAGAGAAGAAAATCTAAAAAATAAATTCTGAAAATAAAAAGTACAATAACTGAAATGAAAAATTTACTAGAGGGATTCAAAGGCAGATTTGAGCAGGCAAAAGAATCAGCAAACATAAATATAGGACAATGGCAATTATTGAGTCTGAGGAACAGAAAGAAGGAAAGATTGACGATAAGTGACCCATGGAACATTATCAAGCAGAACAACACAGGCAGAGAAGGAAGAGAGAATATTAGAAGTAATAATGTCCAAAAATGTCCCAAATTTGATCAAAGACAGGAATATAAATATGAAAGCAGCTCAATAAACTTCAAGAAAGGTGAATTTGGACACTCACACCAAGATACATTATTATATAATAAAAATGTCAAAAGCCAAAGACAAAGAGAATTTTGCAAGCAGTAAGAGAAGTGTTTTGTCACATTCAAAGGATACTGAATAAGATTGTTAGCTTGTTTTTAACTACAGGGCCTGAGTCCATGGTTTCTCATTAGAATCTTTGAAGGCCAGAAGACAGTGGGCTGATATATTCAAAATGCTAAAAGGAAAAAAAAACTATCTACTAAGAATCTTTTGTGACATTTACAACATGAATTGAACCTTGAGGACATTATGCTAAGTAAAATAATACAATCACAAAAAGAATAATACTGTCTGATTCCACTTATTATGAGATATGTAGAATAGTTAAAGTCACAGAGACAAAAAGTAGAATAGTGGTTGCCAGGAGGTAGGAGTAGGGGACAATGGGTAATTATTGTTTAATAACTATAAAATTTCAGTTTAAAAGATGAAAGTTCTGAAGATTGGTGATGGTGATAGTTGCACAGTGATATGAATGAACTTAACACTGAACTATACTTAAAAAATGATTAAGATAGTATATTTAATATGTGTTTTACCCCAATTTAAAAAACTGGGGTGGGTGCAGGGAGAAAATGTACATAAAGTGCCTAGAAGAACTTGAGACACAGGAGAAAAATCAATAAAACAGTATTCCTCCCTCCATCCTTGCTTCTTCAGGGCTTCAGAAGTGATCTTTTCCTATCCTTGTCATATCCTGTCGACACTGATACAGCCCTCAAACTATAGTGCTGGGTGTCTGCCACCCTCTGAAGTCAAGAGAAGAATCACTCTGCAGTAGGATAAAAATTTGTCAGAGGAAGGATTTAACTAATACAAGTTAGAAAAGTCAACTATCATTTGTCTTTTACTTAATATACATCAATCTAAAAAGACATCTTTTTCATGGGATCTGGATGAGGTCTGGGAAATGTAAGGAGCTTCAATAGAAGCTTGTGTGGAAAGGAAATGCTGATTCCTATAGTTGAGATGGACCAATGTTGAGAAATTTTTGTGTCTGAGGAACAGAAAGAAGGACAATAATTGCCATTGTCCTATATTCATGTTTGCTGATGGTATTGTTGTGAGAGGTTTTGAGTTGGAGGGGTCCCTGATTTTGGAAGGACAGAAAGAGAAGTTTGGAAGGACCCAAACCAAACCACAGGCATTTTTCTTCTTGATAACTTCTAAGCACAGTCAGGACATCTTAGCTCAAAATGATCTGTGATGAGCTTGTTCATAACTACAGGGTCTGAGTTGCATGCTCTTTCCTTGATATTCAAAGATTCTGAAATTCTAAAGCATAAACTGGAGTCTAGTTATTGATAATAGTACCCTAAACTCTATACAATGATGCCTACCTCCCATTAAGTTCAAAGGTATTTATCAGTTGACCCACTTATTGCCAAACCCTGCTCTTTGCTTCCCAGCTTTCTGTAGAGAATGTTCATTAAGTGTTATTGTTTGCTCTTAGGGGACCAGTACCTTCAAAAGTGAGGTTTCTGAAAGCATGAGCAAGTTCGTCGGTGTTAACATCTTTTCCATTTCCAAGAAATGTCTTTAGCACATGTCCAAAGAGCAAGATTCCATTCAAATAGGCAAGAGAAAAGTCATTTAACTCCTGAATGAGAAAGAAAAAAAATCTTAAAATGAGTTCCAAAAAAGAGATTATGATCTTGAGCCTGGAGCAAAATGCTCTTGGGGTCAGCAGGGTAATTGAAAGAGTAAATGAATAGTGGGGGAATTGTAGAAATGGAGACTTTTGGATAATACCCTGTTTCCCCGAAAATAAGACAGTGTCTTATATTAATTTTTTCTCCCAAAGTTGCGCTAGGTCTTATTTTCAGAGGATGTCTTATTTTCGGGGAAATACGGTACTTTGTTGGGGTGGGACTCTTTATTATCACTATGTCACAATTCTGCCTTCTCTTGGGATCAATAAACCGAGAACACTGCCTTCCAGGAAGTAACTGAAAGCAGTTGTACTTCTTTCCCATAAGGAAAAAATATCTCATTTCAACCAGGAAGCCAAACATACAGCATTTTCATAATTCTTATAAGATTTTACAGAAAATTAATGCGTGTAGTTTAATGTTTTCCTTAAAGTATAAAAGGGAACAACCACAAAAATATCTCCCTGCCTTTGAGTATCCTGAATGGAACAGGAGGAGTTTTGATTGGAAGGTATTGAGTTTGCTTTGAAGGCAGTTCTTTCTCTTTATTTTTTTTTAAAGCATTATATTTTTATTGATTTTAGGAAGAGGAAGAGAGAGGAAGAGACAGAAACATCGATGATGAGAGAGATTCATTGATAGGCTGCCTCCTGTACACCTCCTACTGTGGATCAAGCCCACAACTTAGGCATGTGTCCTGATGGGAAATTGAACCCTGACCTTCTGGTTCATGGGTCAACATTCAACCACTGAGCCATACTGGCTGGGCTGAAGACAGTTCTGATTGGGTGTTACTTCAGGCCATAAATGTCTGCCCAAGGGAACAAAAAAGAGAGGGTCAGGCCCTGGCTGGTGTGGCCCTGTTGGTTGAGCATTGTCCTATGCACTGAAAGGTTGCTGGTTGGATTCTGTGTCAGGGCACATGTCTAGGTTGAGGGCTTGATCTCTGGTAAGGGACATGCAGGAGGCAGCCAATTGATGTTTTGCTCTCACATAGATGTTTCCCTCTCTCTGTCTTCCTCTCTCTCTAAAAATCAATTTTAAAAATCAAATAAAAATAAACAAATAAATAAAAGAAAGGGTTAAAATTCCCTTGCAAACAATTATATGCTTGTCTTCACAGAGTAAGACTATGGATTAAAAGCTCTGTGCCCCATTGAGGCCACGTGAGTTCTGTCAGCTTGGGTATTTTGGATTGCACACTTTGCCAGACCCTAGAACTATAATATTGATATATAAGTGATACCTGTGCAAGTGATACCTGAATACTATATCCCAAAGAACATGCGTTAGAAAATATAACAGGGGAAAAATAAAACACCTCTCATTGGTTTCAGTGTTTTTTGGCTGAAATCATCATTTCATGAGCTAAAAAGAATCCAGTTGAGACCCAGTCCTACCCAAAAAGGGGTGTGACTCCTAATTTTGGCAGGGTTGTAAAACAGAGGGCTTAGCGAAGCTATTGCAGGAAAAACAGTGATACTCCAAAGATACCCAGCTTTCTTTATAGAGCTCTTTGGGCCTGGCCTTTGCTTGCCAACCCAAAAGTGTTCATGGTCTTCAGGACTGCTTCTTCCCTCCTCTTCCCACCCCCAAACTGCTCTCAGGTATCTCTGAGTGCAGAATACATCCGATGAATTCGATCACATGAAAGTGCATTGTATGACCAAGACCAAGTGGTATTAGAGTCATCAGGAGCCCCTCATTATAATTAGTTGACCATGATTTGATGTCCAATTGATGTCTTTTTTGGAAACAAATGCTAACCCAGATGAAATGCTGGGATGAGAGAAATAAACCAGGGCTCTCGTGAATAAATGTGGACAATGGTTAACCTAATCATAACAGATAACAATGTCTTTACTGAGGAATACAGGGATGGGCAAACAAAGTAGGTTTACAGTTGTGAGTATGCAAAACACAGATTTTATTCATGTATTATTGTTTAGTAATTATTGTATTTTGCACATGAACAGCTGGAAACCTACCTTTGCCCACCCCTGTGTATATCTCTAAAGATAGAATTTGATATTGGTGTCAGCAGGAAGTTGCTTTAGAAAAACTTCACTTATTTTACATTGTTTATTTCTACCTCCCCTATCACTTCCATCCTGATGTTACAGAAGTGTGCACTGCTGTGCTGGTCTAGAGCCTAACACACTGACCCATAGTAAGAGTTTTAGTAGCAGGAACCCTGCAATTACACCTCATTGGTCTCAATTAACACTTGCTAAGTGAATTGAAATGAGTAAAAAAAATAATGCTCATCTTAGAATTTGAGTCCCAAATAGTAGAATAATATCTTAACCTTGAAGAAGAAAATAATAGCATGCATATATAAAGCTTACCATTGGTAAATCACCAGGGGGGAACTCTTCAGGAGGCAGTGTCAAAACAAGGACATTTTTCATGTAGTCAGGGGTTGTGACATTGTCCATGAAGTAGTGGTCACTGCAATAAAAACACAGTTTCTCATGAAAATTAGGTTCCTCCAAATAGAGATAGAGAGCTCCTACAATTTTATACAAACTAAAGCAGCAGCCTTGAAATAGTTTAAAACGTTTTCTTTTTTCCAGTAACCTGCAAAACTTTCTACTTTCTCCTTATAGGCTTATTTCCTTCTACACCTGCTAAGTTGAACAAGAGAAATTAGGCCACTGTGTGTAACATACACAAAGGGAAAAGATCAGAAGACAGATGCCACTTTCAGGGAAATTTGTATGGGCTCTGGACATGTGAGCTAGTGGTTGCTTTCAAGACCTAATGATCCTTGGTTTATATCTGGGAATTTTCCTGAAGTGCACATAACAATTTAGAGATATTAAGATATGATAAAAATTAGGAGTTAAAATTACTTTTCAGATGGTAAAACATAAGGATGGAAGGGCTAAACCTTTTCTCTACCACTACTGTAAACTTCTTGACATGTGCTTATTGATCCTTGTATCCTCCACTCCAAGATAATAATACTTGTCTATTATTGGTATCTAGCTTCCCAACCATTTGAATATTTTAATAGGCCAAGAATCTAACATGTTTGAACTGCTAAAACTAGGCTGACCATCATTTCATATTCAAACAGGAGGTGAACACATCTATGCACTGAGAACTGTTTTGAATCGTTTGCTTATATTAGCACAAACAATTCTAAAAGGACCCTGATACAGTGGACATTTTTATTCCCATTTTACAAATGAGTAGATTTAATCTCAAAATACTAAGTAATACCCAAGAGTCAAATGAACCAGAAGTGTCAGAATTAGAATTTGAATCCGAGTTATGTCTAGTTTCAAGTGAATCTCGTGATTTTCCCAAAACATAGTCAGGTGTCCTTCAGGAGTAGCGACAAAGGATTGCCAACACTTTGGCAGTCAATTGAGGGTTTGCTACAAAGTAAAATTACACCAACTAAGCTACACTGAGGACTCCTTCCAGAGGGCAAAACAGTTACTGAAATGTGGTTGTTGGAATAAAATGCTGATAATGTGCCCTCCTTCCCGTATTCTGCAGCTAAAAAGTTAAACTGATTGAGTATCTTCATGAACAACTTATGGTCAACCAGGCCTCCCATTGATATGCTTCACTTCTCTTAACACTGTGAAAAATACATTTAGTGCGGGTGAAGTGACGAGGCAAACACAGGAAAGGGCTAATGCAGTAACAGTTTCTGGTCTGAACACAGAAAGGTAATGATTAATAATCCAGTAAGATAAGTGAAGTCAGATGATCCAGCTGATGGGGCAAAGGGCAGAGCCACACCAGTGAAACCCTCTTTAAGCTTATTCTGACTCAAATACTACCTTGACACAGTTAGTCTCCACATAAGTGGTAAAAGATGAGTGGTAAAATGAGGGATGTGATAAAAAGTAATTTCTGTTGCCCTAGCTGGTTTGGCTCAGTGGATAGAGTGTTGGCTTATGGACCGAAGGATCATGGGTTCAATTTTGGTCAAGGGAGTTGCAGGCTCAATCCCTGGCCCTGATTGGGATACCTGCAGGAGGCAATCAACCGATGTTGTCTCTCTTACATTGATGTTTCTCTCTCTGTTTCCCTGCTTCCCTTCCACTCTCTGTAAAAATCAATGGAAAAAAATATCCTCAGGTGAGGATTAACCAAAACTAAAAATAATAAATAAATAAGAGTGATTTCTGTTTTGTTTTATTTCCCCCCCCCCTCTCTCTCTCTTTAGTTCCAGAGAAATGCAGAGGAAAAGATCACTACCCAGTGATGATCCACAGTAGGCAAAGGATAACTGTATAAATTAAATTAATTTAATTGGAACTTTTCTCATAACAAAGGTGGCTAATGGAAAAATAATCTAGAATCAAAGGCCATTAGCATTTGAAGGCACAGATAGGGCACACATTTGTATAGATAATATTATTGGGTTATAAGTTGATTTATCACAGACCTTAAATACAGGCTAGACTCCAGGATGAATAGACATGTGGGTTTAATGGGATTTTCATAAAACTTTGTTATTTAGACATGATAGTGATGTCAAAGAAATACATCTCCACTAAAGCCACAATTAATTAAAAAAGAATGAGGTCATTAGAAAAGGAATGAAACATAGATTAAAATATTATCATCATGCCGTAGCCCCATGGTTGGCAAACTGCGGCTCTCAAGCCACTTGGGGTTTTTTGGTCCCTTGATTGTGACTCTTCCACAAAATACCACGGCCTGGGTGAGTCTATTTTGAAGAAGTGGCATTAGAAGAAGTTTAAGTTTAAAAAATTTCTCTCTCTCTCTCTCTCTCTCTCTCTCTCTCTCTCTCTCTCTCTCTCTCTCTCTCTCTTTTTCTTTCTCACTTGAATAAAAAAAATTAAGAACCAAAAAATAAAAAAATAGAATAAATAGCCACCTCTTCTAAGAAAGAAGTATATAATAATAAATGAAGTGCCTTTTCACACTTTAAAAAAAAATGGCTCTCAAAAGAAATTTCAATGGTTGTACTATTGATATTTGGCTGTTGCAGACCACTGCCCTAGCCGGTTTGATTCTAGTCAAAGGCACATACTTTGGTTGTAGGCTCCTGGCCCTAGGCATGCAGAAGGAAACCAATTGATGTGTCTTTCTCACATCGATGTTTCTCTCTGTCTCTCCTTCTCCCTTCCATTCTCTCTAAAAATCAATGGGGGGAAAAACCCTCTGGTGAGGATTAAAAAAAATATTACCACCATACTGAACCCTATATGAGGCTGTGCAAAGCAAAGGCAAAGAGAATGTGCCTTTTGGAAATCCTTGGAGTATTTTCTTTCTGAAAGGAGAAGAATTATACCTACTTAAATAGATCCACTAGAATAATGACAGTGTCTTCAGCCACTTCTCGGTCACCCTTGATGGAGGAGATGATGTCTGGTGTACCACACACAATAATCACTGAGGAGAGAGAGCAAGACAAAAAGAAAAATATAGAATGATATACACACAAACAGAAAGGGAACCCGATGCCTAAATTTAAACTCAGTATGTCCATGATATGTTTGTGTTAAAACTAACACCAATTCCTCAAATTACTACCTCCCCTTTTCTTAAATTCATAGTCACAGAGTCAGAGTAGAGATAAATGGAATCTTAAGAATGATCTCCACATGTGTCAAACACAAGGCCCGCGGGCCAAATCCGTCCCGCCAGGCCTTGCAATGTGGCCCACACCGCGCTGTCATCACTGCACTCTGCTGCGTTTCCATCACAATGACAGTTTATGACTGTTCAGTAAACCATTCGGCCCCGCGATTTAGGCTGGATTTTAGATTTTGGCCCCTTCTCTGATTGAGTTCGACACCCCTATATAAGTCCATTCCCTTAATTTTATTGATTTAAGGAAATCGAAGCCAAGATGTCAAAGAGTTAATCAATGAGTAGATGACAGAGGTAGCTCTACTATTCAAGCTTTATGAGTCTGGGTCAGTGCTTATTCCATTACACCACACTGGAGTATTACAAAAACTATTTTCGTTGCTAACTATTTTCATCTCACCATTTGTAAAGTGGTTGGAAAAGATACAAGTTAATGTGAGAATTTATAAAGCTTTCCTAAGCAACTTTCCTTGTGGGCTTTGTAGCTTCTTCACTCAGATGTTAGTCTTAGTGATCTCAGTGATGGAGTCCAATCCGATTCTATAACTGCAGCTACACTTCCCAAATGCATGACTTTATGAGTAAGAGGAATTGGGAGATACTTTATTAGATTTTTAAAAATATTGTATTGCCCAGTTGAATTGTAAACCCTGTAGGAACATGAATAATTTAATACTCCATTCCCCCCCCCATATCTTTTTTTTAATTTAAATTTAAATTAGTTAATTAAATTCCCCTTCATATCTTGATAAATGTTTTGCAAATGGTAGGTTCTTAGTTTGGTAAATGCTTAATAATGTAGATAATGATTTGAGTGATACCAGGAAATCCTGCCAAACAATCATTTTCCCATAGGAAATTCCCTCAGTTGATTCCTTTACTCCTGATGTATTCCAATTTGTAAAGAGAATTCTACGAAAAATGAAGCAAATCGCCTAATAACTTAGAAAGGATGACTTTTATCCCATGAGTGTTTTACACTTGACTTGTAACTCAGAGATCTTTAGGCAGGTGAGGTACTTTGTTTACTTTTATAATTTTATGTGAGGTTAGATATCAGTAAATATATCCTCTTAGTCATGAGTACAGCAGGATTCAGAATGTTTGAGGAATTGTCACGAATCCAATAACATACTGAATTGAAGTGAACTTAAAAACCAGTTTACTGTGGTGATTGGTCATAATGTCATTTTGGTTTATAAAAATAGGATTTTAACATCATCATTACTTTCATGAAGTTAATATATTTGTTCAATGTCACTTTTCTAATTTCTCCCTGTGGATAAAGTTTTAATCAACAAAAGAAACAATATAATGGAATTGCATGCAACTACAGATTTCCCAAAAGATAAGAAGTAAATTGAGGTAATAACGACAACTTTGTCTGATAGATTTGTCAAAATGATTTATAAGGAAGTGGTAGTTGTGAGGAAAAAGTTGGCAAAATTATCTTCATGTCTTCTTACCATTGCTTTTCCTATTCTGGTCCATTAAGATTTTCTGAAAATCAGCCTCTCCTCTCAATACCTCTTTGAAGGTAAGTTCCTGTGAAAAATAAGAAACTCCAGCCTCCAGAGCATTGAGGTACCTAGAATAAAAAATAGAGAAACTATAGAAATCCAGCTTTGTTTCTTCATGGCCTTCCATGTCATTTGCTAATGGCTTACAGATTTGTCCTGAGACTCATTAATCAAAAATTCACTTCTGCTATTAACACAGTAGATAATACACCTCATGAGTGTGAGCATCTAACTTACTGAAAGTACTGGGGAAGTTTTAGGGGATCTCCATGCACATAATAGAGATTTGGCGGGTTCTTTATAATGGCTTTCTGCTATTTGCTTAAGAAACCAGGCCCATTATCACAGATAAGTTGAAACCTTTGAATCGACAGTACAAAAATTCCAAGTTGATAGGCATAATTTCTCCTCCTGTGTGGAATGAATTTATGTGTGTTCTAAGTTCACCCCAAAGCTTCTAGAATGAGGCCTTTGGGTTGATTCTTGTAGTTCTGTAGATGTGCAATCCCAGTGTTGCCCTACTTTTAGTCTTCTGCGTACTTACGTTGATAGAGACCTCAGAACCGAGAAGCATCCTGGCTCTGTAATAACCTGATAAAAGGATCCTCTCTGCTATATTTGCTGAAGGAGAGGGAACTTGCAATTTTAGTTAAGCAGTGGTACCTATTATCCTGTTCTCTGTTCACCTCCCAACTTACTCTTCTGAAAAAAACTATGAGAGAAACGGTTTCTAACTAATTGTATGTATAGGCAAAATGCACATTCTCTGGTATCATGTCTTGCATAGTAATGTGAAAGCATTAACTTCTGGTTTTCATTTCCTTATCTGTAAAATGGGGATCATAGTATCTGTTCTCTTTTCTTCAGAGGGTTTACTGTGGGAAATCAATAAAACTATCTTGGAGGTACTTTGAAAACTACAAAAAGTTTGAAAATGCAACACACTGCAGAAACAGATTTGGCTCAGTGGATAGAGCATCGGCCTGCGGACTGAAAGGTCCCAGGTTCGATTCCGGTCAAGAGGCAGCTGATCGATGTTTCTTTCTCATCGATGTTCTGGCTCTCTATCCCTCTCTCTTCCTCTCTGTGAAAAATCAATAAAATATATATAAAAAAAGAAAGTGCAACACATGCTGATTATGATAATGATACTATGTTTCCTTTGGTCCCTTTGCTTTTATTTGTAAGAGAGTGGGCTGGTGTCCACTCCCAATGGTGTAACAGCGATAATAACCAGGGGCTGGCCATGAGTCTATGGCTTCTTTCTGTGGCAAACACCAGAGAATATTAATAATAATTCTGCTTACCATAAACAGTCCTCAGACTCGTTATTATTCTTGAAAAGATATGCAGTGCTCCAAGCATGAGTTTTGAATGACAAATTATTAGTCTTCCAAAAGTCAACCAAGAAGTGTGTCAACTTCCTGGCTGGAGACATCAACCTGGTTAAATTCTCTTTGAAGTCACAAGACAATCCAAAACTTCCAGCTGAAATCATGGGATATCTAAAATTTGTGTCAAGGCTATGCCAAGAGGTAAAAAAAAAAAGAAAAAAAAAAGAAATATCAGGGTTAACTTAAGTAGCACAAATAAGACCCCTCTTTAACCTGTTTCAGCAGGTGACCCTCCCACACAGGAGAATTTTAAAACAACATTTATTGAGCATATGCTAGGTTTTAAGAACACTTTAGATGTCTCCATGTGTCTGTGTCTTAGTTACTTAGATTAATTCTAAAATAAGTTGTCACTTGGGCTGTCAGAACATGCAGACTGGGACATATAAAAGTTGGGGGGTAGGGCTAGGAAAATAGAGGTTGGTCCTTGATAGCTACCACAATTGTAAAGTTCAAAGGATGCTCTCTACACTTTTTTCTCTATTCCTTGCCTTACTTCTGGCTCTTCTGTGGATTACATTTGAGACAGACGTTGCTGAGGATTTTAGTTTTCCTTCCTCTGCTCAGCACATGGACCTTCTTGTAGTTCCTTAAACATAACAAGCTTTATTCTCCATCAGGGCCTCACAAATACCAAGAATGCTGTTGCCCTGTCCCTTTGGCTGACTCTTAATAATCCGTCAAGTCCTAGATTAAGTGTCTTTACTCATCAGGAAAATTTCCTTGATACCTAAGACCAGGTAATTATTTGGGTGAGAATCTGTCTCCTCCACTAGATTGCAAGCTCCATTAAAGCCAGGGATCATGTCTTGCTTGTTCACCTCAGCATCCCCAGTCGGCCTGGTCCAGATGTAGGTGCTCAATATGTATTGGATAAAGGAAGGACAAGATACCCTCTTCCATCTTCAGTGTTCCACTGGAAGGTGTCACTGAGTGTTCTGCTTATATCTCAAACTCCCCATGTTCACGGCCAAATTTATCTTTTATTTCTCAAAATGGTTCCTTATCCTGATTTTCCCATTTCTTTTAGTATTTTGAGATCTCAGAGTCTTTTTGACTACTTTCCAGCCCTCGCCCCAACATCCAATCAGTTATCAAATACTATTGGTTCCACCTTTAAGTATCTTTAAAAGTTATCCTCCCTGTGCATGTCAGCTGCCTTCATGCTGAACGGATCCCCCCTTCCCCCCTGCCAACAGTCTCTCCTTGTCTTCCCTGGTCTTTTTTGTACCCTTTTTTTCAATTATTCTTCCCAAAGTTAAACTGCTTCCTACAGTCCTTCCCTGCTCATCCTTAGTGGTTAATGAAATAGAACAAAATCTAATTAAATACAGCAAAGCACATGCAACTAATAATCTAGTGAAATATAACTCTTTCCCCCAGGACTTAAGACCTCCCAAATATGGCCCTCCTTCATTTTTCCTAGTTTTATCTCCATTATTCCGCTATATATCTCTTGCATGCCCATTAGTACAGAGTTTAACAAGTTTTCTACACTTCACTGCTTCTTTGCTTTTACACTTACTTCTTTCTCTGCCTGGCTGGGGTGCTTAACCCCTCATCTTTACCCATTAATATTTTACCCATTTTTCAATATATAATTTCTATACCACTGCCTTCATGAAGTCTTTCTCTTCTCAAAGTGTAACTTTCCCAACCAGAGGTGACCATTTTCTTCTGTGCATTCTGAGCATCTTGTCTGTACTTCTCTGGTGGAATCTACTTCACTCTGACTTGTGCTGGTCACCAGTGTCCTCATCACCTTCTCTATGTCACCAGGCAGGGGCTAGGTTATTCTTAATTCTCTCTATATTAAATAAAATAAAAATGCTTCTTGTTTATGTGGTCTGGCTGAGTGGCTGATCCATGAACCAGGAGGTGCCAGGGCACACTCCCTGGTTGTGGGCTCAATCCCCAGTAGGGGGAGTGCAGGAGGCAGTTAGTTGATAATTCTCTCTCTTCATTGATGTTTCTATCTTTCTCTCCCTCTCCCTTCTCTATAAACTCAATAAAAACATATTTAAAATTAAAATGCTTCTTTACACATGGCAAGTCCTCATAAATGGTGAGTCCATTTCCTTAACCCCCCTTTTCTTTTGAGCGTACTCTATAGCATTATCAATCAGTAGTCAGACAAGACAACCATCAGGAATGAGTGCAAAGAAGAATAAGATTCTGTATTTGTCTGCGTTTTGGTATGAGCTAATAAATAAATAAATAAATAAATAAATAAACAAACAAACAAACAAATAAATGCTTCTATGATGTGCAGGGGCCCTGAGCACCTGTCTGTCTGTGGAGCTGGGTGTGAGGTGGGAGAAGAACAGTTTGCAATGGACATTTCAGAGGTCTAATGTTTACCCTCCAAAGTCTCTTGCAAGGAGTTTTTCAGCACAGTTCTCACTGTGTAGGTGAGAGCTGATCCTTGATTCAGGGGAAGATTGTAACAGGTAAAAGAAAGGCATGTGGGAGGGATTTTGACTGGGGTTGGTGTAATCTGGAAGAACAAAGTGTCTGTGGTGATGAGATTAATGAATGGAGGGATAAGGGCAACTGTCCCAAAGAGAAATATTTGCATTCAGGAATATACTGAAAGCTTCTTTCTAAGGTGATAAGGGCATCGTGCAAAGTACTTTAATATGTTATTTATAACCTTCAAATAATGCTATGGAATAAGTACCTTGCCACCTTCCTTACTCTGGTAAGCCCAGAGTTAAAACAGAGCCCTGCTCATGCCCTTGGGTGCTACCCCTTTCTTTGTGTTTCTGTACTTTTGTGAGTATTTCTTTGATTAAGCTCCTCAAATTATCCAAGTGCACTGACTTCCCTGTTTCCTGCCAGAACTCTGGCTTTATACCATGTTGCTCCTCCAGCTTAGATGTTGGTAACTGCACCTGTGCCTCACCCCACTCTGAGCAAAGGCAGAGTCAACTCGATAAAGGAATTATGGTTATAAGACAGGTGGCAATGTAGGAGGGCCCCAACACCCCTGATTGTGTCGCCTTGACTAGATTGCTGTTTGATAAACTTTTTAACATGGATGTCATGTCTTGATTTTAGTTCATAGTGGCATCAAAACAACAATAAAACACTACTTACTACATCTGGAAAGTGGAATATGTACACGAGGGCCCCATGAGGACACAACCCACCTCCTTTTGATTCTGTAGGAGAAAAAAAAAAAAAAGAAAGAAAAAAACTAATCCTTAAAATGGAAATACACCACACAAAGCAACAAACAACAAACAAACAAAAAAGGAAATAATCAAAAGAGAGAAAAGAAGTGGCAAGGGAAGGCTCCCAGAAGGTTAAAAAGTGGACCACTTAAGGTGTTAGAATGCAGAGCAGAAGGGGGCCACATGGGCGCCTCTTGCTGGGTGAGGGGCAGCTAAGTGAGGAAGTGCTGTGGGTGGAGGGAAAGCTATTCCACTGAAAGTGAAAGTGAGCTGGCTGCAGGGAGCCTTCATCAAGAGGGAGATGCAGAGTGGAGGAAGGACTGGCAGACGAGCACAGATATAGTAGTGTCTGTCAGCCACATTAGAGAAAAAGTAGATTTGGAGGTCTCTGGAGGGAGTGGACAAGTTTTAGGGATAACTACAAAACAGGGCTAAAGAGAACAAATGCAATGTGACCAGCTGGGCAATGATAGATCTTATGTTTTACTATTTCTCAAGGGGAATGTGATTAGGAACATTCCATCCTTGGTTTTAGAGAACCAGGTCATACCTTCCTCTGCAGAAATCCCAGGAGGAAGCACCTTAATTTTTCTTCCTCACCCCCTAACCATTCCTCTCCCGTCTCTCCTCCCTCCCCTCTCCCAGGACTGAGTGTGACTGCTCTAATCAGCCACCCCTCCTGGCCTGCATGGAGCCTACCTCGGTGAACATGTAATGTTATTGATTAAAGCTTTGGAACCATGCACAGCTCTGTGCCTGATGCCCTGTTTCACAGAGGGCCTTTTCAAAGATTTCTGTAGTAAAGGGAGCATCTCACACACCTACTTGTTCTAAGACCTGCATGGGGGTAGGGGTGGGGTGGGGATATGGGAGTAGGGATTAGACAAGAATCTCTCTCATCCCATTATCTACCCTTTGACATGACAGTTATTGTGTTAAAGTTAGGTTTCAGATTCAGATCTCATGTAGTCACATATATGGTGATGACTTGACACAGAGATCTCCGCTGAAGGGCTTTAGAATATATTTTTAACAGGGCACCTCAGGTATTTCTTGAGGGACACAAAGACAAACTAGTTAGGACCAACAGTTAAATTTTTAAAACGTGCTTAAAACAAAATAATTCCACTCCCTAACACTGAAAGTGTACAGATAACTAAGGTTCTTTCCATTTCCTGGATCCCTGGCAGGCCCTCATCACATGGGAAATCTATAGGAATAAAGTTAGAGAATTCTGCATTGACATCACTCATGGTTAGAGCTGACATGAGAGATGCTCATGGACAGGTGTCCAAGGTTCACACTATAATTGACCAGGGATGAGAAGGTGTGAGCTATATCTACCCAGGCAGATACTCACTGCAATTGTCCTGAGTAGGTCAAGGCCTTCACAGGTGCTACTCCTACAGTCACTTGTCCTAAAAAGCGCATCCTCAGTACGGATAAAGGTAGCGTTCACAGTTGCATTTATTCCTGTTATCCAGAAAGGAGGAAAAAGAGAAAACTAGTGTTATTTTTTAGTAGTTCATACCAGTCATAAAAGTTACCTTTTGCCAATTGATCCTGGGGGGAAAATGGAGATCCATTTTCAGGTTGAGAGATATTTGAGCTTGGAGTTCTTATATTACTCTCTGTCACTTTTTCTCTCTATCTCTGTCTCTCTGTTTCTGTCTCTCTCTCTCTCATCAGCTTTTTTTTTGTAGATAATTTACCACCAGAAAATCACTCATTTTAAGTGTACAATTCAATGATTTTTAGTAACCATATATTTATATGTATATATATTTAGCATATATATATTTAGTGTATATATATATATATTGTATATATGAACAAAAATAGGTTTATAGTTGTTCATATGCAAAGTAATACAATAAATAATAATACAAGAATAAACTCTATGTTTTGTGTATCTTCAACTGTAAACCTATTTGTATGTGTGTGTGTGTGTGTGTGTGTGTATTTGCACAACTGTCTCACAATCTAGTTGAGAACATTTTCATTTTCTTCATCCTGCTTTTTATTATTATTGACTCAGCAAGTTTCCTTCCTGGGTCTGTGAAGTGTTAGGAAAGCAATGACAGTAAGAGTGACTTGTGCCCACCCATTCTGGACCAGAATCTTTGGATAATGGGTCATCTTCAGATGAAGGCAAGAGTATCGATGCTAATATCCCTGGGTATTGCTAGGCATCACATTTTGGAAGACAATGAAGAGATAGCAGAACCATTTGACTGCCATTGCAATTAGACAAGAAGAAGAAATAAAAGGTATCCAAATTGGAAAAGAAGAAGTAAAATTGTCATTATTTGCAGGTGACATGATATTGTACATAAAAACCCCAAAAGACTCTATCAAAAAACTAATAGACTTAATAAATGAATTCGGCAATGTAGCAGGATACAAAATGAATGCCAAGAAATACATGGCATTTCTATACACCAATAGTGAACTCACAGAAACAGAGACTAAAAAAGCAATCCCATTTACCATCACACCAAAGAAATTAAGATACCTAGGAATAAACTTACCTAAGGAGGTAAAAGACCTAAACGCAAAAAACTACATGACACTGAAAAAATAGATAGAGGAAGATGTAAACAGATGGAAGAATATACCATGTTCATGGATTGATAGAATCAACATCATCAAAATGTCCATACTTCCCAAAGCAATCTATAGATTCAATGCACTCCCTATTAAAATACCAACGGCATATTTCACAGACCTAGAAAGAATTCTCCAAAAATTCATTTGGAACAAAAAAGACCCCAAATAGCCACAGCAATCCTGAGAAAGAAGAGTAAAGTAGGAAGAATCTCAGTATCAGATTTCAAGTGGTATTACAAAGCCACTGTTCTCAAAACAGCCTGGTACTGGCACAAGAACAGACATATAGATCAATGGAATAGAATCGAGAACCCAGATATCAACCCAAATCACTATGCTCAATTAATATTTGACAAAGGAGGCACAAACATACAATGGAGTCAAGACAGTCTCTTCAATAAATGGTGTTGGTAAAATTGGACAGATACATGAAAAGAATGAAACTAGATCAACAACTTACACCATACACAAAAATAAATTCAAAACGGATATAGGACTTAAACATCAGAGGGGAAACCACAAAAATACTAGAGGAATCCACAAGCAGCAAATCTCAGACATATGCTGAAAGAACTTCTTCACTGATACTGCCCCTAGGGCAATGGAAGCTAAAGAGAAAATTAAAAAATGGGACTACATCAAAATAAAAAGCTTTTTTACAGCAACAGGAACCATCAACAAAACAACAAGAAAGGCCATTGTATGGGAGAACATATTTGCAAATGTTATCACTGATAAAGGTTTAATCTCCAACATGTACAGACAGCTTATATAACTTATAAAAGGAAGATAAATGAGCCAATTAAAAAAATGGGCAATGGACCTAAATATAATAGAATCTTCTCAAAAGAAGACAGAAGGTAGGCCAAGAGGCACACAAAAACATGCTCAAAGTCACTAATTATCAGAGAGATGCAAATCAAAACTACAATGTGGTACCATCTCACACCAGTCAGAATGGCTATCATCAACAAATCAACAAACAATAAAGGGCTGGCAAGGATGCAGAGAAAAAGGAACCCTCGTGCACTGCTGGTGGGAATGCAGACTGGTGCAACCACTGTGGAGAACAGTGTGGAGTTTCCTCAAAAAACTGAAAATGGAACTCCCATTTGACCCAGTAATCCCATTCCTAGGAATATATCCTAAGAAACTAGAAACACGAATAAAAAAAAATATATGCACCCCTATGTTCACATCCCAAGAAACTAGAAACACCAATCAGAAAGGATATATGCACCCCTATGTTCATAGCAGTACAACTTACAATAGCTAGGATTTGGAAACAGCCTAGGTGCCCATCAGCAGATGATTGGATAAAAAAACCATGGTACATCTACACAATGGAATACTATGCTGCCATAAAAAGAAGGAAATCTTATCATTTGCAGCAAGCTGGATGGAATTGGAGAAAATTATGCTGAGTGAAATAAGCCAGTCAATGAAAGAAAAATACCACATGATCTCACTCATTTATGGATAATAAAGAACATTATAAACTGATGAACAAAAAGATAGATACAGAAAGAGTAAAACAACAAACAGACCGTCCATTTACAGTGGGGAGGGTAGAGAGATATGGGGGTGATAAGAGATCAACCGAAGGACTTGTATGCATGCATATAAGCAAAACCAATGTACACAAAACTCTGGGGAGAGAGGGCATGTATGGGGTGGGGGGGGGGGAGATTGGTAAGGTATGTACACATATAATACCTTGATAAAAAAAGAAAAAAAGAAAAAAAAAGAACCATTTGACCGAACTCTTCCTCTTGCATTTTGTTTTCTTTCCAATAAAAAATATTCAGGACAAATATCTGGTTCCTAAGCAGAGATATCTGTCATGTTTTTGTGAAGCTCTTATTTAGGAAGCCTGGAAACCTGTTGCAAGTCTGGCAGTATGAATGACTTTCTATGTGTTCTTGCACAAGCCTTTTTAATTTCTCTACTTGATTCACTCATGTAAAATGGTATTAAAAGCAGGTTTGTCAAATGTAATAATTTTTTAATTCTTTTAAAAGATAATATCAGCAATAGAAGTTTTTGTTCTCCTGAACATCCAAATTAGAATATTTTAAAAGATATAGACCTGTTCTTTTAGAAAATGTAAACATCTTTGCTCTTCCACAGCCACGTCAGAAATGTTTCTAAAAACTAAAAAGCATTTTATCTCTTGCCTTTTTAGTTATTGTTGTTAACTCAAGGATATTTATTTATGTATTTATTATTTATTTATTTATTTATTTATTTATAGAAGAAGGAAGGGGGGGGGGGGGCGAGAGAGACATCACAGTGAGAGAGAAACATCCATTGGTTGCCTCCTGCATGCACCCTGACGGGAATCAAACCCACAGCCTGGGCATGTGCCCTGAGGGGGAATGGGGTAAGAACTTTGGGTGCATGGGATGCCAACTCACCAACTGATCAGGCTGAAACCAGATTTCTGATATCCTCCAAGGAGGTCCCAGATTGCAAGAGGGTGGTTCTCGGGTGACACATCCCAGAATCTGGCTCCCTGCCTTCTGGTTCCAGGGTGCGTCACCCTAGAACTGCCCCTGCCAAGTTGGCAGTTCCTGCATTGAGTGTCTATCCCCTGGCGGTCAATGCATGTCATAGCTACTGGTTGGATGGTCAGATGGTTCCTTATCCTTTTATCCTATATAATAAAGATGTATTATGCAAATGGTCATTACGCCATGAAGTGTAACTACTGATCGTGTAATCAGCAGGAGGGTGGGGCAGTGAGAGACAAGCAGGCGGCAGTGGAGGAGGGTGTATGGCAGCAAGCTACGAGGTGGGCGGAGGGAGGGAGAAAAAGGATGCGGGAAGCTACAGAAGGACGAGACAGCAGGACGAGACAGCAGGCCGAGAGCTACTGGAGGGCGGCAGCTACTGGCGAGCTACTGGCACACGGATTCCTGTGCAGGGCTACTAGTATATATATATATAGATTAAGTGCAGAAGCAGATATGAAAACCCAGCCATTTTCTATTAAGCCTGACATTAAAGATTTACAAAAATGTAAATTAATACCACTTTTCCACCTACTTTTATTTTTTTGTTTTGATAAATGTAGGTTTTCTTTACTAAAAAAATTATCTATGTTAACTGATAAAGTGTCTATAGTTGTTATTTATTTATTTACTTATTTATTTAGTTTTATTTTGTGACAGCCCCTTACAATTTGTGGAGCACTGCACAGATACTAGTGGAGGCTGTCTCCCTCTCTCTCTCTCTCTCTCTCTCTCTCTCTCTCTCTCTCTCTTTTAAGTATAGTTTATTGATTTTTTACAGAGAGGAAGAGAGAGGGATAAAGAGTTAGAAACACCAATGAGAGAGAAACATAGATCAAATGCCTCCTGCACACCCCTTACTGGGGACGTGCCTGCAACCAAGGTTCATGCCCTTGACCAGAATCAAATCTGGGTCCTTTCAGTCCACAGACCAAAGCTCTATCCACTGAGCCAAACCGGTTTCGGCTATAGTTGTTATTTAAATGAATTGATAAGCAAATATTTAAAACATTTGTTTTGAGGTACAATAATCAAAACAGCATACTATTGGCAGAGAGACAGATATGCAAATTAACAGAACAAAATAGAGAGCCCAGTTATAAAAATACATGCTGTTATATGTACAGAGAATTATATGGACAGATAATTATTTACAAAGAAACCATAACATATTGTACAATGGATATGTTATGGATAGTCTCTTCAATAAATGGTGCTGGGGAAACTATCAATAGAAAGCCACATGCAAATGAATGAAACTGTATTACAGTTTGTTCTCATGTGTAAAAATTAATTCAAAATGGATCAAAGACCTAAATATAAGACCTGAAACAATAAATTACATAGAAG